CGGTGATGTTAGGCATGGTATGGGATTCTTGACATCTGATGTAATGGGGGGGGGAGGGCTCTGGACATTTAGTCTTACAGATACAACTCTGAGGGCAACCATAATGCTGATACGGCCATCAATGAAATGGAGTTTGACACCCCTGGTCTAAGGTGTTTCCTTTCAGAAAATGTATAATGTCTGAGGGTTTTGTTTGATCTTCAGGTCTAAAATAACTTTTTAAACATGTGTGCAAGAAATGCTAAAACGCCTCTGGCAGCATAAGGTATTCTCAACCCTAAGGTTCCTCCAGAGGTTGCCAAGGTTTTCTTGAACTGTGGCAGGCAGACCTTCCATTTGATGCCTGCATAATTCTGGGTCAAAGCCACTGCATGAACCCAATGATCTTTTTACCTGTCTTTAATGGTGACATTTTTACCACCACTGAGGATGAGGGGGGGTACACTCTTCCCACTAGTCACCAATATGAGGGGCATTTTTCCCAATGAGCACCAATGAATTCATTTTTGCAAGGGTTTCCTGAGACCTGAACATTTTCAAGGGTTCCTCTGCAGTGAAAAGGTTGAGAAAGGTTGCTTCAAACTGTATGCTGATAAAAAATTATGTGTTTGACTACTGGTGGTGTTCACAGCCACACTGCAGTCATACCCATGATAGGGCTTCCTCTACTTTTCTATGATTTTGGCCAAACTGTTGTGTATGGAGGAATGAATGCACCCATGTTAAATAGAAAACGTATAAATCCTTTAACAATTCATTAACAAGCAGCAACTTCTCAAATATGTAATAACCTTACACCGTTTGTAGTAAGAAAAAAGGTTCATGGGTATAGCAAATTTTACAGGATCAACATTAATTATTATCAGTAGAAATTCCAATCTGATGTTACCCAGAGTTACTCAAATCAGGAGGTAAATGACACAGGGACCTGAGCCAACTGAAAAAACAACCTTATGTTGATCTATACTGCAATTTTGAAATATATGTCAACTGTTTCAGCACTGGGGAATGCCGATATTGTGATCCAGTAACTGTTTTAGCTTTGAGGCCATATTTTATATGTGGTAAAAGAGCTTATGCTTAAAGGAGAAGTACAGCCAAAACTCCTTTGGCTATAGCTATACTTCTATGGATCATGGGAGTGCAGTTTGTTCTGCACTCCTGTGACCCATTTTCAGCTGACAGCAGGCTTTAAAGTTGGGATCCACCCTGGAGTCTGTAGTGGCACCTGCCTCAGCCTCCCAGTGATCTGCTGAGAGCCTGAGCCAACCGCTCCCCCCCCTCCACAGCCCAGCATTCCAGTGAGCACAGGGGGGCAGAGCCCACAGCAGTGGCTGACAATGCCACTCTCTGCTCAGAGTGGCTGTGAGAACTCAGCGATCAGAGGTCATGTTCTCACACTTAGAGCCTGGGGGGGGGGGGGGGGGTGACAGATGCATCCATTTGGGTAAGTATAATTTGGGTATAAAAAATTATCCTATACTTCTCTTTTAACTTCTAGCAAAGGAATATGTTTTGTAATATTGGAAGGTTAGTCCTGGCCCTTTCAATTTGTAATGATACCATGTAAGCTGAAGAGCACCCAGTGCTCTCTTTTAAGTTTATGGCTTGGGCATGGTTCCTTTGCTAGGCAGGATGGGGTATGGAAGCTTTTAAAAGACTAAATAATTTTGTTACTTTTTACAGATTTTTTGGTAAATGGGGTTCATTTATTAAAACTGCAGAGTGCAAAATCTGGTGCAGCTCTTCACAGAAACCAATCAGCTTCCAGGTTTGTCAAAGCTTCATTGAACAAACTGAAGTTAGAAGCTGATTGGCTACCATGTACAGCTGCATCAGATTTTGCACTCTCCAGTTTTAGTAAGGCTAGGTTCACACCTATGCAGGTTACGTTTGAGCCATTTCTGCATTGCATTTTGCGTTGGGTTTTGCGTTGTTGCACTTGCGTTTTTGCTGTGTTTTTGCGTTTTTTCTTCTTTTTCTTGTTGCTAGGAAGATTTAAAAATGCAGCAAAAACGCAATACATGCTTTTCTGCAGTGTTTTCATTGAAGTCTATGGAACCAAATACGCAACCTTTTGAGTTCAAGAAAGTCCCTGACGCTTAGGTGTGAACCTAGGGTAAATCAACCCCTATGTTATATATATAAAAAAGCCACAGAGCAACACGTGTGAAAACAATGATACATTTTTCCAAGCCTCCTAATGCTAAACAAGCCACCCCATAGAGGAATATAAAGTGCTAAGGCAACTAGGGGTAGGGGATAAACTTCCTACCTGGAGCATTCTGTGTTAACAAGGCGCTGATTAGTGAACACACTTGGATTTGGTTTGAGCAGGGATCGGTGAACATGACTAAAGTTTGAGTGCTGAATCCGAACCCCATTGAAAGCAATGGGAGCCAAATACTGAACAGCATTTCTAGCCATTTCCTCGGCTAACAGGCAAGGGATTATCAAACTAATGGTATGAGAGGCTGGGCACTGCCATGGGTCACATATACCACAGCAAAAAAAGTGAAACATTAAAAATGCAAAGCTTCATTACATAACATGTAACACATCTTAGGGATGCCCTGACCCTGCCTGTAAAGTGATGGTACCAAAATCTGCAGGTCTGGTACTAATTTTAAGGGTGACCCCACAAAAAGTCTTGGAATCCCCCCATAAATCAAAACCAAACTGTTATCCTTTTATTGTTAAACCAATAAGCCCCTCCCCCCAGGGCTAGGGTTGTGGGGAAGCAGTCCTCATCAATATGGGACAAGGTGCTTTGCCAGGGGGTTCTTGCTCATCTCCCCCCTTTCCTGGTCAGCCAGGCTGCATGCTTGTGGGGAGGTGCAGCGTGGTGCGGCTATAGTTAGGACACAGAATCTGGTTGCAATAAAACTGGGAACTTGTATTAAAGAGAATGCCAAACTAAAAACACTCCAGTGGAAGGGTGCCGCTTAGGGGAACCACTCACAGATTAGTTCAAAGGCAGAGATGCAGTGGAGAGAGATGCACCAACAGTGTCTCATTTCCTAGAAAATAGTGAATCCCTACCCTGTCTCTACTCATCAGGAACCTTTCCCTGCCACTAGTCACTATACCTGTCAGATGATGTCTCCCTCCCTACTCTACCCACTTCGCAAAATGCATGCCAAAACCAGTGGTAGGGCCCTACTGACCCAAGATGGCCACCTGAGGTCACATTGATGCAGTGTAGCATACCAGAATGCTGCTCCATGACCCAGGAAACAATAGAGAATCCAAGTTTCCTTTGGCTTCCTCTCCAGGCTGTGGTACCACTTAGTTGAGTGCCACCTACAGTGGAAAAAACTGCACTGCACTGCACCTGCCTACATGCTCAGATATAGGTCTGATATGGGGGGTTTTCTTCTTTTTTTTTTATTGATTTTTGCATGGGATGACATCCTGTTCATGTGTGATAGTGACCAGTCTGTACTGCTACTACGTGGCTTGTGTGGTAACATGCTCACATATTTCTGACATCACAATATGGCCATGAGATCCCAGGCATACATGGTAGTGACAGTAGAGACTTGAATCTTGCTGCCATATTTATGATAGACAATGCACATGCATGTTTGGCTAAAGAGTACAGCAAATACATCAGGATTATGGAGAGAATATGATGCATGGCTGCCATATTGCTACAAATAATACACAAGTGCCTAGGAGTTATTGAAACATCACTCTGCATGTCTTAGCTCTTCTTAATGACACGACCACATATGCAATGGGACTCTGCCCCAGGTACAATTTTTGAATTCAGCTACACAAATGTTATTTACCTCTAAATAAATAATGTAATATTTTCTGTTTATACATTTTGTAGGTTTGTACTTGATAAATAAAGAATTAATTGCACTATTTTCACAAACGCCTAGAACATTTCAAACTACTGTATATATAACACCAATATTGCATACCTTTTTTCTCAAAAAAACCTTTTTGTCCCCTTGACAGATTCACTGTTACCAACTCACAGCTGATGCTGATAGAACAGTAAATCGGGGGGTCAATTCTGGGATCCAACAAGAAGCTCTGTACTTCTTTCCTGTTTTTGTTTTTCTTCAGAGTTTTTTAAAGCAGTTTAGCATTTTAAATGTTTCACTTAAAGTAGGGATGCACAGCTACTGTTTTTTTTTTTTTTTTATCGGCGAGTACTGATACCTACGGTCAAGTACTCACCGATACCAATTACCGATAGTTTGTAGTGTGATTTGTGTAAATGCAAAATGTATAGATGCAAATTGCACTGCAAAGATTAGCATGCAATTTGAAGAGGAATGCAATTTCCGTCCCAATCGTATGCAGTTTCCCAACTGCTCCTGTGTGAATCCAGGCTTGTCATAGCCCGAGTTCACACAGAAGCAATGCGGGAAACCTCCCTGCATGGATCCCAGGCTGAGCAGAGAGTGGGTGTGTGGGGATGTATATTATAGAGGCAGTTGCTCCATATTCTACGGGGTAGGAGAAGAGAGAAAGCGGCGGGGATTTTAAATCCTCTCTTTCCTTTCCTTGCAGCAATGACAGTTTGGGCTAGAGGGCTTTTGATTGGTCAGCACCGTCACCCAGCTAATCTTTGCATGCAATGTGTATTGATGTAAATTGCACTGCAAAATATGTTTCTGGTATCGGGAGCATTTTCACAAGTTCTTGTACTTGTGAAAATACTTGGTATCGGCACATCCCTAACTTGAAGCATTATTAAAATTAATTATTTTTTTCTTTGGTATGTGATCCTCAGGGAAGGGTAGCCCCCTGTTATTTGACAATTCCTTGCCTAAAAAATAGCCACTATTGGTTTTTAGCATTTGACTCCCATTGACTTCAACGGGGTTTGGATTCAGCACCTGAACTGTAGTAATGTTTGCAAACTCACTACAAATCGAACCCAGGTAAGTTTAGCTTATCCCTAATTGGCAGTGACTGAACAGCTTGTGTATGCATAGCGTTGCCTTGGTATTATGTTCACAGTTACGATATCATGTGCGTCACATCTCAGTCCTTACTCTGATATCATCTGGGTCCAGACTGTGCTCACTCCAGGCGGAGGTGATGCTGCTATTTAAATTGGATCGAGAACGCCTCAAGTCCAGCTCATCTTCATACACTTCAGCTGCAATCTCTTCCTGTAGAGGACCTCCTGCATGCAAGAACTAACAAAGACATTTACAGTAGGATCGGGTAGTAAAATCTTTCCTACAGAAGTGTATGAACCCATAAGCATGAATGAATTACCTTGGGCACAAACAGTAAGGTGAGTGTCATTGTGACTGTCCCATGTGTGTGAATGAAGAACAGAAGAAGTGTCCAGTCCGGTTGAAGTGATGGAACCATAACAAACCTAGAGTGAAGAACACAGTGTAACATATACTCACAAAGGTGACATGTGCACCAAATTCTGTGCTTGGGGAAGTGGTGCTGTGCTTATGATTGGTGCCATGTACAAAGACCAGGGCTGTTATACATGCAATTTTGATATTTTCTCTTGGAAATAATTTTGAGTTTTTGTTTAAGAAAGGAAAGAAAATATTTTACTCACCTGTATCTCCTTAACACGAGCAAGGAATTCTACAATCTGTAAAACACATTCAAGGAAAGATATATGTGCACACTGTTGCATTCTGACCTCACCTGAGTATATGGAATGCAGTAGATATAAGCATCTCATTGTGTATTGCCAGTCCCATGTAACGAGGCTCATGGAAAGCAGAGGGCACAGTACGAGCTCCATAACATAGGTAACTGCCCCAGCACAAAAACAAGAGCTCACCTAGGGAAAAGGCACAGAATGTGGTCGATTCAGACCCATGCATATACAACAGCAAGAGATTTGAGCAAATAGATTCAAATGAACACAACGTGCTAAGCTTACCCACAGCCATCATGTAGTCCCAGCGGTCATAATCACACATGTAAAACATAAGACCTTCTTGAGTTTGTGAGTGAACAACCACAGGCACTCCTCTTTGCACATTCTCCATTGTTCCCACTGTCCATCCCACAAGAAACCATATACACACCATCACCATAACGCTTAACATGCGTAATAAACGCATACTGGTCATGTAGGGAATACGCTGAGCAGTCCTCGAAAGGAAAATTTTCATCACTCTGTGTCAACAAAAATTTTTAAATTATATGTTTAGCATTCTCATTTACCAATATTTTAAAATCTGACATTAAGTATATTTCAAAGTCCTAGAAAACTGAACAGTTTTGACTTAGAAACTAAATTGCATTCCCAGAAGGATCACCCTGCCATCCTGTTGAATATTCAAGTCTTGGACATTGTAGATATGGTAGAGCTGCTAAAGAATAATGTCACAATACTACTTCTAGTAATACATATACATATAAATGTAGCACATAAGCAAGGTAGAAGATATTTGATTGAATAAGAGAATCGCCCCTATATGGGTGAAGACAGACTTCATGGCAAAACATGTTTAAAGAAATTTGTGTTTGTCAGCCATATTTTATAAACTCATTAGATCCTCATTCTTCTATTCATTAACCTATGACATGGATAATTTGATTGGTAACAGTGAATAACACAAATAGTTCTATGGATACTTTTGATCATGCAACCTATGACTACAGTCTTTGAGAAACCTAATGCATTATCAATTAAAGCAGTACAACCAACATTGCTCACCTGTAAAGTTTAAGAACAATGGTTCCATATACTATGCAGAAGCCAAGAACTCTAACCCAACGAAGGGCAATGCAACGAAAAACACCAGGTTTAAAATATACAATGAATACCTGAAAAAAAACAAAAATATCTTATAACACTATTGTGCAAGATTTGTATTATACAAGGGAAAACAAATACCTCTGATTTCACTCACTGGAAAGTAGAGCAGCAGTGACCCAAAGAGGATTGTCTCCAGGAGAATAAGACCTGAGGCCCGGATCCTCTAGATGGGAAGAGACAAGGTGCAGATGTTAACATTCAACAACACGCAATCTTTGGCAACCCAGCTGTTGATAAAATTAAGATTAGATATCATGGTGAGTAAATTATAATCAAAAGACCTTCAGAAAGCATTACACTCAGCATTACCCCTTGGCAGTGGCTGGCTTGAGGTAATCCAGGTACTGACTATTATTCAAATTGTAAACCATGTAACAACAGTCCACTTCATGTCTACCAAAAGGACAAAAGCATTGTTGCACCTTCCCAAATATATTAAATCAACCATATCTAATTTCAAAAACAATTCATTGTTCACTAGTCACACAGTGAAAGTAAATACATAAACAATTGTCTGTGTGACCAAAAACTATATAACTTCATAGAATATGGATGTCCAGTCCTTTCAAATATGATACATCTCTGGCAATGCTCAAATATGTGCGTTGTGAAGACCAACACCTATGCACCACTACGCTCACCTCCAAAATAGACCTGCAATCTTGAGGTCTCAGTGGGGCTCTTTAAATGTTTCCACCTACGCTCACCAGTAATACTAGTAATAATAGTACTCCCAGGCCTTGTATGGGGTATGCTGTGCTCTCCCTTTCTTCTGTGTTATACTTGCAAGAAACAGAATTATCTAGTGTAGTATAATAAAAGATGCGTAACCTGAAGGTGTCAGGTCTATTTTGGAGGTGAGCGCAGTGGTGAATAGGTGGTGGACTTTACAACGCACATATTTGAGCTTTGCAAGAGATGTCGCATATTGAAAAGGACTGCACATCCATATTCTGTGAAGTTATATAATTTTTGGTCACATGGACAATTGTTTATGTATTTACTTTCACTGTGTGACTAGTGGACAATGAATTGATTGCTTTTGGAATTAGGTATTGGTTTATTTGGGAAGGCGCACAATTTATTATTTTCTAAAGGTTATTGTTAAAAGTTGTGGGAACACAATTTATTATATTTCTATGGTTATTGTTTGTTGTGGGAACACAATTATTGTTTGCAGCCATCTCACATATTTATAAGGATTATTTGTATTTACTGTATATGCACCATATATACAAATGGTGTTCAGACACTCTAAACTGTATATATTACAATTTGTTCAGACACTCTATACTGTATATACAGCACTTGCACATAGAGGCGCGGGACATACTTTTCATTTATAGTTTTGCAAAAAATCAGAAATTGAGGGATCTTTTGGTTCATGCTGACCCTCACAGCAAATACATTAAAACCTTGTTGTTTTTTTTTTTTCAGAATTGAAAGTTTTTATGTTACAACTGCAGTATCTGTACCCCTTGATTTTTGGCTTATAGGTCTTCCATCCTCACACTGGTCACCAGTTTAGTATGATTACTTTAATTCACACTACTGAGCTGTGTCTAGATGTTAAAATGGACATGCTGCTTGGTTGATACTGTAAAACCATTGAACCTATGTTATATAGCTTCACGTTTAAATGCTGTTATAACTGTAAAAGGATGCTGTACTAAGTTTTAAGATTGAATGTCACTTTTGGGGGGGGGGTTAGAATAAAATATGATAATGCTGTGAGACAGAAAAGGACATTTGTGGTTAGAACAGTCTTTAAAAACAAGTGCTTTGAGTGCCCCCCCCCCCCCCCTTCAAGAATGATAAAATAGCAACAATTACCTGCAATAGACCATGTAATAAAACAAATTGTGGGAGGTGATAGAAAATGCATGCTGCTGCAATGTGAAACATTTTGAATTCACCGATTAGGAACCGTCATTCAAAAGGGCCTTGATACTGAGTTGTCATTTTCCACCTGCAGTGATGTGATAATTTCTTTGCCCATTTTCCAGTGTATACTTCTATTATGCAGTGTTTGTTTTGCTCTTTTCGAATATGGCTGCTATGCTCTCTGGGCACTGAGGTTGAGGTCATCAGAGAGAGAACTTGTGTGAAAAGGAGAAAGTGTGGTTTTCCTGGGAGAGAGCTCAGACTTTATGTGTTGCAGCCTCCCCTCACTGAGACATGCAAAAAGACTGTTAATGCTTTAATGTTCCTGTTTGGAAGATACTTTATGTTGTATGGTTCACTGAATGTTATTTTTCTTCAATACATGGACTTTCATATACAATGCTGTGTGGATTACTGCAGCACAGTGGCTTAGTGGTTAGCACTTCCGCCTGGCAGTACTAGGGTTATTGGTTTGAATCCCAACCACAGCACCACCTGCCTGGAGTTTGCATGTTCTCCATGTGCCTGCATGGGTTTCCTCCAGGTACTCTGATTTTCTCCCACACTCCAAAGACATGCAGGTAGGTTAATTGGATCCTGTCTAAATTGTCCATAGTATGGGTATGTATGAATGGGAGTTAGATTGTACACCCCTTGAGGGTTAGGGACTGATGTGAATGTACTATATATATGTAAAGTGCTGTGTAAAATTGACAGTGCTATATAAGTACCTGAAATAAATAAAAAAAATTAAAATAAATGTGGATGATACATTTCTCAGTTGGGATTTCACTTGTTATCCACAAGCCCCAATTGAGTGGAGGCACTAGCACTTGTTAGAGATCTTGTCCTGATCACACAGATTATAAGGACTCTGCTCCTAAATACTATACAGGTGGCTCCATCATACCCCAGTAGCCGCAAAGAGTGTAAAAATAGTGCTACACGCCTATACACTACAATTTCTATTATTAGTATCTAACCATTTATTAGTAGCCAGGGATAGGTATATGGCCATTAGCCCTGTTAAACCCATCAAGTTTTCATTATTAACTTTTTGATTGCAATTTGCTAGTGTTAAATTTCTTTTTCATAAATTCCTATTCCAGCTCTGTGCAACATGCTTTGTAAGTGTCACCTGGCATTTTGTCACTAATATGGGACATTTTTTAATACTTTTTTATCTCCACATTTATTGTATTTGGTTTATTTGTTGTTGTTCCACTATGATCATTACACCTGTACCTTTCTCCACGATGCACCTGATCATGCACTGCTCCATTTTATATGTATTCTAAGATTTACGTGTTGTCATCTGTTGTTTTTATTTCCAGGGTTGCCACAAGAGAGTGTTCTGCAATTTACACAGTGACATTATCACATTGATACAGATAATTAGTGACTGGGTGTTTGAACATGTTATTATGGTGTAGCTCCCTGCTAGAATAGGTGCTAAGATGTACACTTAGATTAGTGTAGTTTGCTCTTCTGCTTAACAGGGAAGCTAGGAGGTAAATCTATCCTTGGCATCTTGCTTAATGGAGTGTTATAATCTATTAGTCAGGACTGCTCATGATGCTCTGGTGCTGTTGAGTTTGCCTTGAGCTCCTCCTACCATCTGTAAACCACTAGAGCTTTCCAGAACATACAGTAGGTGGGAGCTTGGAAAATGAACAACATGAATATGATTACAGCTCTGGCAATTACAGGAAAGGGTGGCTTCATTGCGTGCTGGAAACAGGTATTTATATTCTAGGAGCACATAGTTACATAGTTAGTCTGGCTGAAAAAAGACTAAAGTCCATCCAGTTCAACCATAAAAAAAAAAAAAAGTTAGAATCCTATACCCAAAGTTGATCCAGAGTAAGGCAAAAAAAACCCCCCAGCAAAGCACGATTACATATGGATTTTTCCAAGCTCATAGACTTTACCTTACACATTAGCCATGGGCTCAGGGTCCTTCCCAGAGTGGAATGCACCAAGCCAGGATGAGGCAGGCTTGCCTCCCATGGCACCTTC